CCCCCCCCCCCCCCCCCCTTCTGAAGAGGTAGCGTTTACCTAGTATTGAGTGGATTTTTGGCACCGCGAAGCGCATTGAAAGAACGATGATTTGAGCGTTTTCATTTTTATTTGGACTATGATAAATCTGCCACCGGTGGCAGGAAGGACAATCTGCCACCACTTCTTGGTGGCACGATGGATTAGTCCTGTCACCTGTGGCCATGTGTTGACGAAACGGGTGATATACGGAGGCCAGCACACCGCATCTTTCCCTACCACTACACACGATGTGTGTAGACCAGTGCTGTCCTGCACATGGCTGAAAGATCCACCAGCTTCGATTCAGATTCTGGGATTTGTCGACCGGAATGGTAGAATGCAAATGTCACACAGCTATGGTCCACAAGTGGCTCAGCCAAGAGCAGTCCGAAATAGTCTTCCCCCCCACCATCGCTCGGTGCCAAAACTTGAGGCTATGTGGTCCATCAGAGACAGGCCGTGATCAAGACTTCAAAGAGTTGCTACATACGTAAAGCAGCCATCCTGGACTGGAATCTACTATTTTCATACAGTATAGGTTGCAAAACATGTAGGCTAACATACAGTCACTCAATGCGGTAGCCCGTACTATTTAGGTCCACGGCATCGAAGACCTACGAGGTCCGGCTATTTGAACGACGCCTGTCTAAATGGCACTGGCCGTCAGCAGTGCCCACGGGACGGGCTTACACTGACCGTTGAATATTTTCGGAGATGTACACACGGCTGGTAGTGTACGTACACACAGCGTGGAAGACCCGGGGGTCGCGCTGGACTATTCTTGCAAAACGTCGATAGGACGGTGATCTGTACGATGCTGGCTGTCGTTGACATCAGTGCCGCCGGCTTGTCGGTGGCTGTCGGCGATATCACTGATATCGGCTTGTCAAAAATGAGAGCTCGTCAAGAAATCCAAAGCCCATCTCAGTGCTGCGCCGCGAAAAAACAAGCTCCGAGTCACGGTTTCGGCAGCCATGCGGTCCGGCGACGACACGATAGACCAATCTAAGACCCTGGGGCCGTAGGGTGAGGTATTTCCTGTGTAGGGACTCTCGTTTGTCAAGTTTGGCGTCCTGTTGCCGTCAAACCCCACGAAACAATGTGTCGCGAAAATAGGCGCGAGACCAGATGCGGCGCTACCTCCTGATGGCGAAGCCCGGGTTTAGCCGAGCACCAGAATGCATCTCAGACATCACAGATCCACATGAAACTCAGCACGTGGGCTTGGTACACTGTGATGAGCTAGCAACCAAAGTGGCGTGGCGAAGAACGCACAGGATGAGACGAGAGGTGCATTTCTGCCATTAAAATAGCGTTCGCGCAGAGGCATCGTGTTAAGTTCCCCACAAACCGTTTGGGAAGCAAGCACACGTATGCGCAAGAAGGATATCTGAGGGTTTCTCAACACTTCGAACCTTGCTGCGGCGAGCTCTGTAGGCAGAGAACACGCAATCGCCGCGCGGCAAGTTTTAAACTGAAATACCTTGCACTTTGTAGGGGGCGAACCCCTGGTACCTACAATGTATGATTTTCGTGCGCGTATCCCCCTCCGGTTTGCCGCAGGACCATGTCGCGAGTTCTCGGCCTACATTGCTCGCCGCACGCAAATTCAAGGTGCTAAGCAATCCTCAGCTCAACTCCTCTTACATACCAGTGCTTTCTCTTTGAACCGTGTTGGGGGAACTTAACATGGCGCCAGTTTTGTTTTCGAGGAAGACGCACCTTTCGCTGGCCACAGTGCTTTTGTTTTCGTGCTACTGTGGTCGATGACTCGTGGTAGAATGATGAGCCAATGTACCAAGTTTCATATGGATGTGTGTTGTCTGCGATGCGTTCTGGTGCTCGGAAGAGATTCTCCGCTGTTTGCACCTCACGTAGCCCCCGCCTATTTTTGTTTGTTTTTTTAACGAGGCGCAACACTGATCTACATACGTACAACAGGAGGCATTTGTGAAGCAGGCTGCGGTAACATGTGTTTCTGTGGCGTGTCCTCTTGTTGTGTGCTTCACCGCTCCGCCGTATTTCCTGTTTCGCGCGCCTGTGGCTACCGGTGGCAGGACAATCCACCC